TGCAGACCATCAAGTATGGGATGAAGATTGCGATGCAGATAACTTCGTTGATTATTTTGAATCCGTTCCAGTATGTTTCGTTGAAGCCATGACCAGTAAAAAATTGGATAATTTTAAATGAAATATCACTATAGGGTTTGCTATCTGTAAGTATTGGAAAGAAATCTTTCAGTTGATTCTTCAAAGTTACTGAAGGCACAGATATCAGCACTTTTATACCTTTGGTATGATTGATTAAAACCAGACCATGATTAGAGAAATCTTCGCATTCATATTTATAATAAGTTCGAAAATGAAATACGCTATTTTGATCAACTCAACGCCAGTGTAAAAAGTAGAATCTATAATTGGTTTTTTAACTGTGGTATGTTTTAATCAAACAATGTGGTTATGGCTTAACCTTAAACTGTAGCGACGACATTATTGCAGAAGCCATAGGGCAATGTCTTCTCATACAATAGATAAGAAAAACCCTTGCTATATGTGTGCTATACTTCTAGAGCAGAGCGGAGGGAATTATGGCACGCATTTAAAGTGACAAGTAAATTAAAAAAATTGAGAGTAAGAGAAAAAACAAAATGTCGATTTAAGTTTCGTCAAGGTGACTCCGTGACGTTGATCAAAACAGTGTTGTTTAGTAATAAATGTTAGAATTTATGAGTAAATTACTATAATTTTAATACAATTTAGGTTCATATTATGTAGAGTGTGAGGGGCATGTCAAAAGCAAAATTATTGTTGCTTTTAATGCAAATTAAAAAACTGAGATTGAGAGAAAAAAACAAATGTACGTTTAAATTTGGTCATGGGAGCCGAGACTAACTGTGCCTCGGCACTCCGTCCAAACCGTATTTTATATATGCATGTATATATTTCATTTAAAACTTAGACAAAACTAAAAAGTGCAAACTGATGTGACACAATGCATAACATGCTTTCTTGTCATAGCTCGTATGAGTCAATTTTGACGTGCCCGTGACACTCTACATAATATGGGTGTTAAAGAAAAAATGCCAGAAAGCAACACAGTCAAGCTTATATACTCTAATAATCGAATTCTTATAATATCCGATTTTATGGAAAGACGTTTTAATTTGAAAGTATTCTTAACAATTATTATAAGAAAATATAACAATAAATTAACATTTTTACAGCTTTTATGAGTTGTAAACTGCTGTTTTTTCTGTTGGTAAATTGTAAGTGCTCAGTTACAAAAGTAGTAGTAAATATACACAATTGACAATACTGATATGACTCGCTGCATAACATACATTTTAGTCATAACCACAAAGAACGTAAAATTGCGGTGACCATTCGTCATATGACTGGCTACATAACAGGACCGTTAATTCATTATTCCAAGCAGCATAGATTTAGAAAATATCTTAAACTTGTTATTTAATACTATTTTGTTAGATGTCTGTATAGAATTTATAGGCAGCTGTTAAAATTCATTGACTAAAAATGAAGTAAAAAGTTTTTACTAAAAACTATAATTATTGCAATTTAAATTAAAAATTATATATGACAAATGTTATTATATTATTTGAATAAATATAAAATATATTATTATTTTTAAACATTCATTTTTAACTTTGTGAATACCATAAATGATTTTATTAAAGAGTATATGATTGCATTGCAACCACACAAACATTTAAGTATCCTTACTTAATGTAAATCTGCGAATATTAAACAGGCTAGAAGCTTATAAAGCCTGAACAGCAATAAGTTTTTAATCGAAATTTTAAAGCAAACTTACATTATGAGCTTTAAAAAGTAAGTAATTTCAAAAGGATATGCATTTGCATCCTCATATCCTTTAGAAAGAGGGCGCAAATCGCACACATAGATATGAAAATTAAGTGCAAGCATTTATTTACAATTCTTATGCACATTTGCATACAAATGCCATAATTTATGCTTCAGACATGAAGGGAAAAAAGCCTTAAATAAATCTCATCCATGCGTAATACCTAAGATTGCGCTCCTCATTGCTCTACATTGCCGTGCCATGTCTTCTGTCTTCTGTTTGGTTGAGCATTCCGCATTACTTGGCATTACAAATAGGAAAAGATCAAAATAACAAAACACTCAATTTATATTGGAACACAAAATAGTCGTAGCATGAACGTTGCAATTTTGTCCTGATGTAAGTCGGTAATGAATTGCAAATGTAAGACGAGCGAGTACGTCCGTCCGCTGACATATGTACAGTTGTATATGCGCAGATGTTGTAGTAGAGGTAAAGATTCCTCTAAGTTCATCATGAGAATGTGTTTCAGGAATTGCAAGCGACTGAATGCAATTCTTCGATTCAGGTGCGATTTACTACTCTGCAGTACTGTGTAGTATTAAGGACTTTGTACTGTAATGAATACACCACATACGAGTATTGTGTATTTTAGATTTCGGTTTGCTAGGAATGCAGATTAAACAGATTTCATTTTGAGTGTTAATATTACTTAATATTCATTAACAAATTGCAAATAAGTTGGTGAAATATTTCGATATATGATATCGCATAAGATATAAGTTTTCACATTGGTGCATTTGTACATATTAAATAATTTATTTAGTAATTACTGTAAAGCCAATACGACTTTCCAATTGTGCAAATGCAATTTGTTTAAATGGAATTTGCCATAGGTAGCAGCTTTTCAAAAATATCATAAATTTATTTATAAGAATTAAATAAATGGTACAGTTTTCACAAAAATTTATGGGGTTTTTAAGTCAAATAAACAAATGCAAATAGACTTACTGTGTGCCAAAAGGATTAATATTTACTACTCTATCTGTGTTTCAGAGAGTATTGTATATCCTGCAAGGATTATGGTTTAGTGTATCTCATACAAATGTTTATCATGTCAGGTTACCAGTAAATTTTTCTGCAAATATTTGTATTTGTACATTTATTGATGCTTGCAAATAAATTAAAAAGAACAAACACTGAATATTAATCCACAGAAAACTTTTTACGAAACTTTCGGACAATTTACGCCACGGGAAAATTGTTTGCATCAGCAATGCTTAATAATTTGCTCACAATTATAAATATAACTTTAACAATTACTGCATGCAATAGCTATTAAATATAAATATTAAATTTAATTTTAAGAAAGTGAGATACATACCGACATACATTAAACTTTCACCCAACTGCTTAAAACTATGTTAAGAAAGGTTCAAAGCTTGTTCAGTTCGAAGCACTTCATCGTATAATAACATTCCATAATCATAGTTGAATATATTTAATCACATCATATCCACAATCTCAACATCTATTGAAAGTATTTTATAATTTTTAATAGTATAATACAAATTTTCAAATACAAGATCCTTTTCTTTCGTAAGCATATCGTAAAAGAACAACACTAAATGGGCATTACTTTTGGAGGACAACTCTGGAAATGCTAGAAATTTTGTTTTAATATCTGACAGGTTTATATGTGCAATTACACAAATACACATATTTGCAAATGACATAAAATTACAGTTAAATTCATGAAAATGATCAAAATAATTATCTATTATCAAAATAATTACTAGGAAATATAACAAATACGAAATAGCAATAATTACCAAAAATATATATTAACAGTTAACTGGAAATTTTGTTCGCACTTCCAAAAATCATTCCCAATATACGAATTTATAGTCTTTGCAATCATGCAACTTGAGCTGTTCATTAGTTATAATATATTCAGACACACCTTAATTTCGCAAAAATCCTAATTCCGTCTTCGTTTTAGCGAGATTAAGTTGTTTTTTACATACAAAATTCAGTTTTGACGTTTAAACGAAATTAAGGAAAATGCCCTTAATTTCGTTGAAAAGAAGGATGAAATTAAGGGACATTTCAATTGCAGCTATGCGTAAGATAAATTCTAAGTTTAAGATAAAGTTAAGATAACGAAAAAGCGACATTCGTTCTTAAATAAATATTAGTGACAGTTGTGTTTAATACAAACGTGAAAACATTTTAAAAGTAGTACAAATTTTTAAATTTGAATATAGAGAAAAATAATTTATAATGTAATTTCTCAAATATAAATTGTGTATATAATAGAGTATGAATATATGAGTATAACAGTATGAGTGTGAGTATAACAGTCGAATTGTAAACACAAAACATATGATTTCTCTAATTTGGGGCAGTATGAACTTTTTCCAAATTAATTTAATTTCATTTTAACGAAATTAAGAAAATTTGGCTGTATGAACATAGTATTATATTGCATTTAGAAGAAATAATATCATTGTGAGTCATAAGTGGTGTCAATTAACATTTTTGTGTGCATATACATATAGGTATAACATATTATACAAAATCCTTTATTACCCCATTTTATGGATAATAATAAAATAGTGTCATCTACAAGGTGTACTTTCATTTTCTATATATATTTTCTGATCCGCAACGCAATCATGCAAAAGTCGTTCATAAATTTTAATAAAGAAATTGTCTCCAACATATTTAAATTTACTCATTAACACTCGCAACAGTTGTAAATACTAAGCAGCTGACTGGAGTTTTCTATTTTCTTCCGAATATTATTCACAATAAATCAGTTTTAAGATTTGGCACCTTTGTAGTGAGAGAGGCTTATTCGTTAAGCACTTTCAGGAAAGTGGGCTTATTTTTTGGGAATTTTGTTTTTGCTTTGCTTGTTAATTTTTAAGCAACACGTGTTATATTGGAGCATTTATGTCAAAAGAATACAGTAATTGTTTTGACCAACGTCACGATGGACAGAAAGCGTTGTTATCAGTATCAAAGATTAATTAAAATTGTGTGCTTACATAGGATATACAAGAATAAATAATATTGTGAATCATAAGTTGTGTCCCCACAGACTTTTGTGAGCATATACTTTTTATTTAAAAAAGGTTTGCATCTCCACAAAATTTAATGCATAATAAATGTTACATCTATATGCTTTAGTTGATCATTTTTTATACATTCTAATCAGCAGTGCAACAATGCAAAACTCGTCACTTGAAGCTTTATCGTTTAACCAGCATTCGTCTGTAGTTCTTTCTTGTTCGGTTGCAGTTCGTTTTATCGAGGTTTTTTTTTATTAAACGTTTTTATATATTTTAATGTGTTTAAGAATTGTTTTATGCGTAATTTATGTTTCAATTGCATTTTTCTTAGATTTTTCCTAAATTGATTCTTAACTACTTCAGATCGTATCTATTGATTCATTTTTGTAGCAATAACGAACTGGTGACTACGCAGCATAACAAAGCTTTTGGTAAGTCTAGAAAATTATTACGTTATTTTGTTCATATGTACATATCATTAAATGTATTTATGCAGTTTTATATATTAAAACTGCTAAAATTGTATAAAAAAAAAATAATTTCGTAACTGTACGTTGTTTTTTTTGACAAATTTTGCACAGTCCTGCATACGTCATCAGTACATGCGGCTTTTGATGCCGAGTGCTGCGCCAATAACTACAACAACACTTAAAAATGCATGCAAATATTATAACATAGTTTATTATTAAATTAAGTGAAGGTTGAAATATATAAATGGGGAAAGGATTTCACTTAAAGTAATTAGGATAAATTCAAAATTGCTATAAAATAATCACAAAGCAGTGTCGCAATTACTCTGCAAATAAATTTGTGAATTATTGTGCGATGTGATCTTTATATGCCTTGTATGGGTAAAAAAGCAACAAAATGGCTTATTTTACATTGTGTTTTCTTTCTTTCGTGATTTTCGCTTTTTTTATTGCATTTTTTTTAATTGTTTTGAGTATTTTATTTTCTTAACTACAAAGTTGTATTCCTATTATTTCAATTATTAGACACTTTATGTATGTATGTAATTTTATCTAGTAATCTTAAGGTTTTTATAATTAAAAGGAATGAAATAAGTTTTTACTGAAATAAAATATTATAAACAAAAATAGGCAAGCTCAAAGATTAACTTTCAATTCGTTGAACTTGTGTTTCCAAAGTAAAGCTGTAGTTTATAAGCTCGTTCTAATTTAAAGCACGGCAAGTGCTTTGGTTGGTGTCACTAATTAAATAAAAATAAGTGACAAAACCCAGAATTTGAGCATTGAAAGTTTGTGCAGCCTTGGCTATTTGTGGATAAACACTATTAGTCATCGCTTCTAATTTGACAGGCACGAGTTCTAAGCCTGGCACTTGCAGTCCAAACAAATTATATAAGGACTATAAACTAATTAAATAAAATTCGATTATTTCCAAAGACCACTGATGAAGAGTACTTGGCAATACTCGAAACAGCGTTGTATGGTCATCCAAATTTCAATAAATTAAAAATAAAAAATTTTGTCTTTGTCCTTTCTTTGCTATTCGAATCCGTCTAACTTTTAAATAGTTTCTTTCGTCATAAAAAGACACGCCATTATCGGCAAGAAAAAATTAACCTTAAAATATTATAATTTAAAAAAATATTTATTGGTGCATTAATATTTCAAATAAGCAAGAAATAAATTTAATAAATTTTCTTAATAATTGCAAATTATGTGAAAAGCGATAAAAATATTTAGTAATGTTTCAAAAAAAAATATTCATAGAAATTCATTTTTATAATGTTTTATAATTTATTGTTATAAAATTTGTTTTTAATGTGCCTATATTTTAAGACTTAACATAAAAGATAGTCAACATATTTAATTATATTTTATTGATTGAAGCACATTTTTTTAAACTTTAAAATAGAGTAAAGATTAAACATTAGCTCACGTAAATTATTTCTAGAGGAATGAAAATAGACTAAAAAGTTGAAAACAGTTATTGAGTCCAAAAAAATTTCTGGATGTCTAGTAGTAGTTTATTGCATTAGTTAAAATAATATCAACATTAGGGGCAATGAGAAATATCATAGATATACTAGATAGTATCTAATGTACCCATAACGCAATTTATAGGTTACCTCAATTCGCAACTTTAAAGAAAAGATTTACATCCAGAGTATAGCAACATTGCTTATTATATTACTTTGTTACTTTTAAAGTTACTTATTACTTATTTTTGAAAGAACTTAGTGAAATAAAGGATTAACATTAATTTAAACATCTACTAAGCAATGCTAAAAAGTAAAAAATAGATACATAGGTACAAGTGGTGTTTGTACATTCCATGATTTTCGTTGAGGCCTGTAAATTTAGTCAAAAACTGAATATGGTTTTTGAAAATGCTATAAAATAAATTTGGCTTCATGGCATTTTTGAGTTATCCACAACACGTTGTGATTGTATTATTCGATCAAAAAAGCGATTTCGGTTTTTGGGCTTAACATTTACTGTATAATTAGTTGAGCATTTTAATAATATATAAAAATAGTAATATATTGTGTATGACAATATGAAAGTATATATTAAATGAGTTATGTATTAAACACACTTAATCAAAAGTGTATACGTTAGTACATCTCAAGCAATTATAAAGTAATGCACATAAGCATGGCAAAAATTTGCATGCGTCTCTTAAAACTACGCATTTGGGAATTCCCCTTTTTTTGTTGAAACAAAGTAAGAATAATAATATTTATCAACTTACTAATTTATACAAATCAAAAAAAAAAAATAAAAAAAAAACAAATTCGCTCAAAACTTAAAACCAAAATAAGTAATTATTAATAATTTTTAGTAATTTTAGTCTTTTAGTACATTTAAATTTTTTGGTTCCAATTACTGGACAATTTGAGTTTGTAAGAGTTCTAATTTGTGTGCTTCTCTACTGTATAACATAAACTTAGAAACTTAATGAAATTGACTATTCTATTATATTGTCCAGATATGGTACTTTCCATTATGTTGTATATTATGGTTATATTAAGTATTTTTTTTAATAAATATTTATTTTTTTCAATATCTTTGGTTAGATGTTCTTGTCTTTTCTTTTGTTTTTTCAAGAAATATTAATTTCATCTTCACTACTAAATAAACCATTCTGTTATTTTAAATTTTAGTTGTCTAAAATAATACAAAAAACAGCTCTTGTTATTTAAAGCATTTGTTATTGTTTCTAAAATCTCCACGCTGTGTTTTATTTACATAAAATATAGCAGAGAGCAGAAAATGCACAAAATCTTAAATATTAAAGTGCAGTCGTGCGAAGTCTACTTAAATATGTTAACTACTTTGCATCTTGCGTATTTGCATACGTGGAGGAAAGCAGGGCAGGGAAGTAGGTGAAGAATTTGCATACGAAGAACAGCGGAGCAATTCATTTAAATGCAGGAGACACAATGTTATTTTGACACAAATTACAACTCAAGCAAAAAGCAAATGTTGTGTGTGTAATTAAAGCCGCACTTACACACTTACACGGAAAAAACACTGCCTCGCCCGCTTGCCACATGCAAATAAATGCAGGTGCATACTTGTGTACTTTTGCGAAGTGTGCGACTGGCGAAGGTCTAAGTAACTTTCTTGAGATACGAGCACTTTAAGCACTACGTGGTGAGCTAGAAATAAGGAAAATTTTAAATTTAAGTAAAAATTTTGGTTACGTTTACCAAATATTATATATTTTCTAAAATTTAATAGGATTAAGTTTTAGTGAGGTAGTTACGTTGAACTTTACATAAGAATCCCGATGTAAGATACCAGTTGACAGGTTAATATATAATTTAGAATTCATTCTTTAAAATTGTTGTTCTATATTCTGTGTCAAAATCAAAATTTAAATCAGAATTTAAATCAGAACAGTGTTGTTTTAATAACACATTTTATTCGAATAGTAGATTTTAATCAATTCATATAATGGAATAAAGAAGTTGCTCAGATCCTTGCACGAAAGAAATTCAATATTTTGAGTAGACATCAAAAACTACAATTTTCTGACGTTCCCCATTTTTAATTTATGTTAAAACAACAATTTTACATTTAATGTTACCATGACATGGTCCTTTGATTTCCGAGGATCGTATGTCTTTCGGTAAAATTATAGGAAAAATCAGTAGTCATAAACAAAGTAATGGAACAATATGATCTTTTTGAAAAACCAAATTTTACCTAGAAAAATAGAATGATTTTAATTAATATTGGGAGAATATTATTTAGCCTTAGTGTTTCTCTGCCATTCAGAAATTTGGTGTGGTTCGTTGATGGCTCCGGCCGCTTTCAGTTACCACAACAGCACCTTTACATAATATGTAAAATTTCGTAGTGCATCAATTTCCAAAACTATATTAATCTATTGAATTATATTTCGTTTATTTTTGAGAACATATGATAGGCTTCAAAAGCTTAATTTCTTGATTTTCCAGTATATTTCCCAGACATGATAGAAAACATGTAGAGAAATCTATCACGACGTGCTCACATAATGTGGACACCAATTTTAAACGATGGAGGAGCTACGTAAATCTCATCTATTTGATGTGTTAGAAATTAGTTGATTCGTTGCTACATCTAATTTTTAAAGTAATAAATTAATCCAGTAATTAGACTAACTAGTGACCAAGTATTAGGGCGATATTTGATATATTCTTATTTTGTTTTTTATTTTGGAATACCGGCTTTTAATTTGATAGAAAAAATTGTTATAATTTTATTTCTAACTACATAAATTAAGTTTTTCTTATTCTTTGCTTGATAAAAAATTAGTGTCTAAAGTATTTTCTCTCAATGGCGTCTGAGATCAATTGGATAATCCCCTGTAAAAACTGTGTTATTGAATTATGATATACAGTTATTTGGGTGATTTTATAGCAGAATAGTTCGAAGCCTTGTATATCATCTTGACGTAATATAAGTTTTAAGTTTTCGAATGATGGATGATGGATGAACCGGCGTTACATGGTATTGTAATATAAGTCAATAAGTTTTTTTTTTATTCTAATTTTCCAGCATTGGAAGTATGCCATTACAACAGTATTCGCATTTTTATATGTTGAATAAAAAGATAGCTAAAAACTTATTATATAAACTTGGGTAGCATGATTTTTAGTGTGAAGATCAGTCGATTATGACAGTCCTTGTTAAATGAATGAGTGATATTAAATCGAGCTATACCAGTCGATTTCTCATTATCAAGTGCTTATTTTATACTTGGGAATGCCTTGCCAACTGTAAATCAGAAGAAAGATTTTTTTGGATTATGGACTGTCTTTAGGGTATGATATCTTTAGCCATAGTTATATTTTTTTGTCTTGTCAATACTATGCTTCCCATAAGCATAGTATTGATAGTATTGATAGAATAAATAGGATCTATTACCTAATAAGGTAAAATTCATTAAGCTGTTTTACCCTAAGTAAGCA